GAGCAGCTGTTTAATTCTGTCGAATGTCCTCTGCGATTCTTCCGACCAAACAAACTTTGGCTCACCTAGTAGCCTGTATAGAGGGGCTGCTATCTCATTGAAGTTCTTCACGAAGCGACTATAAAACGCTGCTCTACCCAAGAATTGTCTCAGTTTTCTCTTTGAATTCGGGGCTGGAATCGTTTTAATCGTCAAAATTTTCTCCGGCAGTGGTTTAATCTCACCATTTCCCACTTTATGTCCCAACAGAGTAACATTCTTTTTGGCTATCTGAGACTTGGTTTTGTTGACGCGTAGTCCAAACTCTTCGATGCGTCGCAGCACGGCTTCTACATGGTTGACGTGATCGTTTTCGTTCTGACTGTATATGACGAGATCATCACCATAAACCTCCACGTTTTTCAAGTTCTTAAGTAATAGCTTCATCAGTCGCCTGAACGTAAACGGTGCACCTGCTAGTCCAAACGGCATGCGTTTAAATCGATATTGCGTCTGACCCACGATGAAAGCCGTCTTATCTCTGTCACTTTGTTTTATCGGTATCTGCCAGTATCCTGAGCGAAGATCGAGAACCGAAAACACATTCGCACCTTGTAGTCGATCTAAGGTTTCTATCACTGTTGGCATGGCACACGGTCTTAACTCTGTCATACTGTTTAACTGTCGGAAATCAACACAGAATCTATATTTCCCATTCGCTTTTTTTACTAACAGCACTGGAGAGTTGTATGGGCTATCAGCTTCCTCAATAATATCATCTTTTAACATCTCTTGCACTTGTCGCTCCACTTCGCCTTCCAGATGACATGGAACTCTTCGCGTTAAAAATGACCTTACTTTAGGATCACTTAACGGAATTTCATGATTCACCTTATCGCAATAACCGTATGGGTCCCATCTCCAGTGAACAGATGATCGTATTTATTAATTAACTCTGTCACATTGTGTACCGTCGACAGCTTAATCGCTGCTATCTCGCTGGTCTCATACATGTTGATATGCCCGTATTTCGTGATCACCACGTTCGCTTGCGTGTCGATTATGGCACCAATCTCACGCAGAAAATCCGCTCCTAATATCGTTCGCTGTAGTTCGGGTACAACAATGAAAGGAAACGTCACCTCGCAGCCACCAACAACGACCGTACAGTTCGATCTACCCGTGATACGCAACACATACCCGCCTACTGTTTGTACTGTCAATGAACACGGATTAACACTCTTACATAAATTCTTATCTATTAACGACACGGCCGCCCTGTATCTATCAAACATACTACTTCTCGATCATTCACTCGCAACTTCGAATACAGAGCGCCTTTCTCAATAGCCCCCACTAAACCTAGGTTCATACGAAAGAAAGAACAAGCATTATACCGTCTGAAATTTTTTCTTTTTCGCCTTTCTGGGCAGTATCTTCTCCAGTGTCCCGGCTTACCGCATTCAAAACACCGGTCTTTTCTATCAGCCAACTTTAACGCCGCCACTTCCCGCTGCAATGCTTCAATTTTTGCTCATATTCGTTTGGTTTTGGTTGGTCTATAGCGGCTACCGTTGTGCTCAGCAGCTGTCTGGTCACCTTCGCCAGCTCACTAATATCCATCGGCTGCGTTGCGTTAACCAGTTTTAATCGCTGAGAAATGTGGTCGGGGACACTCTCGATGAATTGGGAAGACAGTAACTGCGCTTCTGATTCTTCATCTAAAGTGGGAAGCGCGCGTCGAAGTAGATTAGTCAGTTTCACCGCCAACACTAGCGGGTCTCCATCAGGTCCAAGCTTCATTGACCGGAACTGCTGCATTGCTAGCTGTCTGTCTGTTTCGCTGTCAAACTCGGACACTAGTCGTTCAACCAATTTCTTCCAAGACGCTGTGCCATTTGACCTGTCTACGCTGTCATATGCAGCCTTCGCTCGGCCTCTCAACAGCGTCCCCAGGACAACTGCCTTCGCCGCCTGCTCCTTGACACCCACCAGCTCAGCAACGGCTTCGAAGTCACGTAAGAAGCTCCGTATGTCACCTTCTTCAAACGCAGCTGGCCACGGGATCTTCATCTTCTTGGAGGCAGCGACACCAAATGTAACAACAGAAGACAAGGGCTGGCAACAGATCGTTTTATTACGAAAATCAACACGTATTTATATATATTTTATATGCATTAATAAGGCTTATGCAAGCAGAAAAAGGCAGTCTTCTGATTGGTTGTTTCTCGGAAGTTAAGCAGACAAACACAGTCTTATGATTGGTTGTGTTCGATATTTCTCGGAAAGTAGAGCCATCTATCTGCGAATCATATTTGTCCACATTTAGGTTTGCTGTGATTGGTTGTTGAAACAGCCTTGTTCACGGTCAATATTAGTGACCTAGACATTAACGTAGATTAGTGCCAACCAATCGGCTAGCAGCCTGCTCTCACCACACTGTTTCATCCTAGTTTTGGGAATCATCGGTAGTACACACCCACCACAGGGGTTGGAACCCAGGACCTTCTGGCTCGTATACCATTCAGTCGCTAGGACTCGATTCAATGGCTATGCCGTGAATTCTAATTTCTGCCAACTCGTGATTTAGGGCGACCGCCAACCAGTGTCATCGACGGAAAATCCATCCTCACACTTGACGATGATTCCTAAAACTAGAATAAAACAGCTGTCCAGTACTCCCTGGTTTTCACTGGTTCCCCAACTGATATCAATCCGTGGTCAAACTTGTAAAGACTTTAGACATTGTCTAAATAGATATTGAAATCTTCGATATCTAAACTATTCATCTCAGGGAATACAACACTTCTAAAAGGCATTTTATTTCTGACAACGAACTAACAAAGGAACTATTTCCTAACATATATGCAGAAGAAAATGGAGATGGACTGAAGACATGCTGAGAAGACTGTTGGATGACATCACTCACCAGGTTTTCGAGTGGGACACGAATGCGAAACAACGTGTTAGGCTTGTATCCGATGGTGACATGACGGAGACCGTGTAAGGAGGAGATGAAAGCTTATGGGCTACCATGCAGCCAACAAGAAAGGACTTCAGACAACAGAGGAATGAAGATGTGCTGCTGAACCGCTATGTTCCACTTGGAATCAGAGGATACAGGTAAAAACGAAGTATTTTCGATACAGTAAGTCACACATACTACCATATAACAATGAAGATGGAATTTTATATGTTTAACTCTGAAGCTAACTGTCTAGATAAGATTATGAAAAACACCTACTGCTACAAACTAGTGAGACTTGTTCACTGAAATTGGTGGATTTAGAGGTAATGAGTAAGTGAAAGTCTTTCATAGTTAACAGCAGTATCGTTCATTCAGGTAGAAGGGATCTAAATGTGAGACAATTCTTTCTATTCGTTTGGGATGGACATAATCATTTTAGAAGAGTAACTCATCTTCAACCACCTAAATTATGCTCGAACATAATAAGTTCTGGTGGGAAGTCGTGACCAGTAGGATACAGCAGGTCGGGCGTGAGGACAAATACTCGCCAGCGATGACACTGGCTAGTGGTCACGCTATGTCGGAAATTCGCAGAAGTTGCAATTCATGGACTGGTCATTGGATCGGGTTCCAGTGACTTAATGGTCTACGAGCTAGCTCACCTTGTAACCAGAAGGTCTAGGATTCAAGCCCTGGAGGTGGGTGCGTACTGATGAAGAGTCCCAAACTGGGACGAAACAGCTGTCTATTACTCCCTGGCTTTCAGTGGTTCTCTAACGAATATCAATCTGTGATCGACTAGTAAAAACAAAACTAATATTTGCAAACCAACTATAGAATAACTGATTTTAGCTCAAGAAGCACAGAAAATCAGGGAATACTGTTTCCTCATTGCTTGGTACCCGGCCATGACTTCATCAGGGATCGAACCTGGGGTCTTAAGGTAACAAGGTGGTCTTGTTAACTACTGAGTTACTCGGACTGTATGCAATCACCCATGAGTCCTCATTTTTACCGATTCGCGATATCATTGACGAGAATGAAGTCAGTTCGTCAAAAATCATGATATCAATCAAACTTCTGCAAAACAAGATCTGTTTTGGAGGTCAGCAGCACTCAGCATGACAATGAAAATAAGATCCGGATTTTCAACTCCAATGTGAAGTCAGTGCTATTTACTATAGAGATCAGAGACTTGGCGCGCCATAAAGAGCACCTCAGTCAAACTACAGACCTTCATCAACAGCTGCCTTCGCTCAATATTCAAGATCAGATGGCCGGCCAGAAAATATCAGCAACAGGGATCTTTGGGAATGAGTGAACCAACCTAACAGGAACCGATCGTGAAACAAATAGGCAGGAAGAAATGGAGATGGATCGGCCATACTCTGAGGAAACCATTAAGTGACATCACACACACACACACACACACAAGGCCATCGCTTGAATAGAACGAGGCTGAAAGGGAAGCGGCGAGTTGGTCGTCAGTGCTAGGGTGGGGTGATATGGAGGAGGTCATGTGAAGAGGAGATGAAAGCATGTGGGCAGACGTGGAACGGGGTGAAAACGTTGGCAGAGAACCGAAGGCAATGGAGACTTGGGCGGCCGAAGCCCTATGTTCCTCTAGGAATTAAAGGAAATAATAATAATTTGATTTGAAAATTAAGCGATTCAGTCACACACACACACACACACCTACACATGTGACCTGACTACTTCCAACTTTTAGTAGTATGTTAATCTTATGATTGTAATAATGCCTTTAAGTATAATGCTTTTATCTAAAACAGGCAATGCATGCAAAGAAACCGTTTAAAAAAAAGAAATAATAAAACTGAATCATTACGCCTTCAAATTCCCAAGAAGTGTTCAACTCATATACACTAACAGGCATATACAAACACACACACACACACACACGATCACAAAGTCGCATATCCTGATCTATTTTTGTGTAAATGTTTACTTGAACACAACTAAATTAGACTGATTCAATTATTGCTATTATTATTACGTCATCACTTATTTCCATCTTCTTCTCCTTGAATTTCAGGTTTCATCTTCTTATATTATTGATCTTATAGAAATTACCACTATGTGAGTTGTCATCATTAATAATATGAAAGAGGTATTTAGCCTTTTTCCATCTGTGTGTGTGTGTGTGATTATGTGTGCCTGGATCAATTGTACTTTGATATATTCAGTCAATAATTTATGCTCAACATTTGACTATAGTTCATTGTAGATATTGTATATGAAAGTGACACATTTGTCTATATGTCAACTTGATGAAATTCATTCAACAAGTCTCTGACATAATGGTGCAGGAATTTCCTTATGCTTTTTAATTCTCCTCTTCAGAAAAATGGATTGTAGCTGTAAATTTTAGTTAGAATGGGGAAATAACACGTCTGTGTTTACTCAACAGCCGTATATATATATTTTTTTCTAACCACTTACTGAGTGTTAACAAACAAAGAATTCCAGATTTTAATTTCGTTTGGGATTTTGTCTAATTTCAGCGTATATTTCATTGTGAACCAATAATGATTAGACAGACATTGAAAATCAAGGGTCACTGGTTAGCTGTTGCGTTCTAGTTTCACGCCTTGGATGTGAACTTTGGGCTAGGCTGGCACTCACCAGTCAGCAAGGCGTATCTGCAACCCTGAAATTCGAAAACGGGTCGCCCAGTGGCTGGTGTCCAATCAAAGTTTGACGCATATCTTGTACGAAGATGGTGCTCGTCAACGGAATTGCTAAGTGATGGTACTGTGTCACACGAATCGATAGGAGGGAGTATTCATAGGCTATTAAATTCCACTCCGTTAATTGATTGGTTAGTAGTAAAATCAATCGCCTACCTGCGTACTACTGAGGAATCCCAAACGAAGACGAAACAGCTATCCAGAGCTCCTTGATCTTCAGTAATTTTAGACAATTAATGTTGATTCATCACGAAATCTGCATCAAAACAAGAAACTTGTCAGCTTTAACTTATCTGATCAGTTTCAGCGTGGATGCTGTTTTAAACTGACGGTACATGAAGATGTGTTACTTGTCATACAATATTTTACTGAAGAATTTAAACTATGGCGAAATATCCTTTCAGTGCTCTTTGTTTTGTCAGTTTCTGTTCATGAGAAAGTTTACATCAGATGTATGCATCAACTGAGTAAACTAGTATATAATTAGACTGTTAGTGAACCAACGCTAATTTCACTGTTAATTTCGTCATAAACCCAATATGAGCTAAAGAGTTATTGAAGACCATGGAGTGATAGACGATTGTTTCGTCTCAGTTTAGAATTCTTCAGTAGTGCATACTCACAGCCAAACTAGGCATCGAACTTGGGATCTCGTTGACCATACAACCATGCAAAAAAATTTGTACATCCTTCATGAAAATGGTGAATAGTGACTAGCAGTGGAATCCAGGGTGTGCATTTCGTCCTATTTGAGACTCGTCATCTGGATGTGCCTGCATGTCTCAGTGAGTGATGATATTCCCACCGAGGCTCGAACCCAGTGCCCGTAGTTTCAAACGCCAAAGCGTTATCCACTAGACCACTTTGGCCACGAGAACCACCTCTTGTGCAACGGGTCACATTAATTTAATTTAATTTTTGATTTTCCCGTCGATTGATTGGACCGAAGTGCTCGGTCTCAGGTTGACATGTCGGCTTCCTGTGGGTTCGAGCCTCGGTGGGAACATCATCACTCACTGAGACATGAAGGCACATCCAGATGGCGAGTCCCAAGTAGGACGAAATGCGCGTTATCCTGGATTCCACTGCTAGTCACCATCCACCAATTAAATACTAATGAAATGCCCAGACATCGTTGAGGCATCTGCACAAGAAGCTGATATGTCAACCTGAGACCGAGCACTTCGGTCCAATCAATCGACAAGAAAATCAAAAATTAAATTAAATCGTTCATGAAAATTTAGGTTTCTATAACTGTTACGCCTAGGCTATAAGTCACATTTACTTTAGAACAACGGACAATTCAACCCAACTGCTTTGACTGAAGTCAATGGAGCAGAATTCGAAGTAGGAACCAGCTGGTTGAATGTTCACTGTTCAAGTCCATGAGTCACATCTGCACTATTACTTAGATAAATGTCATGAATGAGTCAAGAGTATAAAAGCATTGGGAAATACCAAGATTGTTTAGCTTTAGTGGTCAAACATACGATGAAAGCACTTGCCTAGCTAGTTACATTTCGTGAAAAACTGAAATCATTCAGACGATCATCAAAAACCAGAGAGTACTAAAGTGAACTGTTTCATACTAGTTTGTAACTATTCACCGAACAACAGTCTAGGTCACAGTGGGACTTGAACTAGAGGGCTGTGGATTATTAACTTCACACAGTGAATTGAACTGCGTAGGACATAAAGTTGGTTTTCGTCATTTAGCTAGTAGAACCCCGTGTTGGTAACCCACTGTAATGTATAGTTATAATCTTTCCACAATGCTTCAGTCACTACCTACCTACTATCCACATCAGTATTAGTCTCCTAATCGAAGGCTATCGCAGATCATCTCACTATCACTTTAAATATATATATATATATATATATATATATATATATCCGAGAGTTGATTTGTAAGGATTACGTTTGTTTCTCGAGTTTGACCATGGATTGATATCAGTTAGAGAACCACTGGAAACCAGCAGGGCGTATTGGACAGCTGCTGTTTCATCCTAGTTTGAGAGTCATCGGCAGTACGCACCCACTGGGGGTACGGACTCAGAACAAACCTAATCCTTACAAGTGAACTCTTGAAAATTAATCTGATTCCAGCTACTGACTTGCTACAGGACTGAGTTTCCTAGAGTTTTAGTGTCAGAAGTCCTGACCAGTGAGGTTCAGCCAGTGAAGTGTGAAGATGGATTTCTCACCGATAACACTGTTTGGTAGTTGCGCTAAATATCACGAATCGGTAGAAGTTGGACTTCATGGGCTGGCAACTGGATCGGGTCCCCGTGGCTAAGTGATATGCTACCGATATATATACATATGTATATGGTCCATACCTGTACCATAAAATACTGTGTAGAATCAAGCTGTGATCAAAATTAATTAGAATATATATATATATATATATATATATATATATATATATATATATATATATATATATAATTTCGATTGCCAGAATGTGTAGATATTAGTGACAGTTACAACAACAAAAATGTAAATGTAATTCATTAACCTTGAAATCAAGAGAAATAATAAAACCTCTCAGTCAGAAGTTACATTGTTACATCTTTCTACTTTACTTTCATTTAGCCTTAAACAAAATCACTTTTCTAAAGGACAAACGAGAAAGGCTTATATCATTAAAATAAAATTAATAAATATTAATGCATAAATGCATGCATGCATGCATGTACTTATACATTATCTGGTCAAAACGAGTTTTAAAATTCAAAAAGTGAATCAAAATGCTTACTTAATTAGTTTGTTGTCTTGCATAAACAACTATAAGATGTAGGTGTGATGTACACTACTTATAAGTAGACATAAGTAGTATATAGAGCAGAGTCTTCTGAAGAACCTAATATGGTTCATTTGCTTGGAAAATCTATTGAAGAAGAAACTTAAAAAGATATTCCGCTCTTCTGGGAAAAAGACACCTAGTAGGTGATAGCCAAGGAAGAACAAAACACGTTTTAATAAAGAATCGTTCTTATCACCGGAAAATAGTGAAGGTTAATACAAAGTTTAAGAAGCCAATTCCTTCACTTATCTAGGCAGCATTGTTTCAGTTAAAGGCAGTCATCAAAAATGAGGATGTCAAAACCAAAATCGAAAAGAAAAGGCAGAACTCCATCACTCCAAAGTCACTCTAGAAATCTACTGAACTCCACCTTTCAGCATAAACAACAAAATTCGGATTTTCAACACAAATGTCAAGCCAGTCAGTTCTTCTATGTGGGTGAGAAACTTGGCACGAGTGTCACGAGAAGCACTGCCAACAGGCCACTGCAAAATTTCATCAGCAGCTGCCACTTTCACTGGTTCCATAGTGAAGATGAGATGGCTGACGAGAAAGAATTAGCAACAATAAACTCAGGGAACAAACCAACCTAATAGTAAAAAAAATGTTCCGAAGAAGATGTAGATAGTTCGGACACACGCAAAGAAGACCATTGTGTGGCATCAAGAGCCAGGAGGAGTCTTGAGTAGAACCGGAATTGGAAACGACAGGCTGGGCGTAGATCAGAGGTTGACATGGAGGAGATCATGTGGAGGAGAGGTGAGAGGCTTTGGTAACTGTGGGGCCAAGTGAAGAGAACTGCAGAGAACAGAGTGAAACGGAGATGTGCTGACGAAGTCCTATGTTCTACCTGAAACTCAAGTGAATAATAATAAGACAAATTTTACAACATTCACTATACTCATCTGTATGTTTTGTCCCAATAAACATTGGATCTGACTTCATTAGTTTTGGTCTCTTCGGGAATATATAAATTTCAGTAGACGTTATTAAAATAAGTTTATTTAGACTGTGATCATCATTAAATGTCAAGTATTATCCACCTGAAAATTACTGATTTCATGGAATTACTTATCACAACATATAATAATCAGAAGTAGAACGTAGGGTTTCAGCAGCGCATCTGTATTGTATTCCATTCTCCGCTAGCTCCACAAACTGTTTCTACAAGCTTTCATTTCCTCTTCAAATGATATCTTCCAGACAACCCTCAGAGGTCCAACTTGTTGCTTTACTCTTGACAATACAGTCAAGAATTCTCAGCATATTTTACCACATAACATTTACTTCTTGTACAAAACCTTCATGTAAGATAATGTAATGTAATCTGAATCAAGCATGATCCAGTACCCTAAGATATTTTCCTTACATTTCCTTCAAGATGTACGCAACAGTAGGTTGAAAGCTACATATGAATGTACGTGGGTTCATGCTACCATTCAAGGATATCACTAGAGGATTGAAATAATATGAAGTGGAATAAATTTGACACATTATACTGAGACTTGGTGTGTCCCGAAAAGCGTTTCGAGTAGATAACTACAGACTTTCATCAACACCTGCGTTCACTGGCCCCTTAGTGAAGAT